TTCATAATATATCTATGCCTGTATGCGTGTGTGTGTGTATCTGTGCTAAAGTTGCCAGTTATACCAATTTCAATTGTTTTTTTTTAAGCAATAGTGTTAGCAGTGTGCAAAATATTGTAATGTTTCCAAACTTGACATAATCTTAATGGCTGATATTAGTTGGTGAAAATATTTGTAAAACATCACGTCAATCACAGGCTTCTTTACGAATAAGATCATCCCGTTCACAGAATACTAAGATACTGTGCATTAATGTTGTCAATCCAGTCATACTTTCTGCTTTTCCAGTACCCTATCACGTAGCGATGTAGTAATAATGACGGAGTCGGTTGGATATAATTTCTGACCGGTAGGGTATGAGTCGGTAAATAATAGATACTAGAAACGACAAGATAATAGTTTATATAGAATAGAATACAGATATACATAATACTTTGTTTAATAGTATGGCCTTCAATACATTACATATGATACATTTATTCAAAAGTGCTTTGAATTGTAACCCACACAGTAATGACAACGAAAATATTGAAAAGATGGCGAAATCCCGTCCCTATCTTATGGTTGCTAATGGCATGGGACGCTTGTTGAGAGGAAATAAACAGCGACGAGTTTGATTTTACTACAGTGGAATTTGAGATTACCTGAAAGATACATGAAAACAAAGATCTTGGCATTCATATTGATGACGTCACATAGTCCCACTCACATATCCACGAAAATAGCTATGCAAATGTATTTTGACAAGTCTGTGGGCAAAACGAAGTAAAGAAATAATAAATGGTTGGTGAATGGGATTAGTATAAGCTGGGAAAGACATAAGCTTTAAAAAAGCTACAATTACTATGACATCACAGTTTCGGAATCAATCACAGGTCGAAAATCTCAGGCAATCATAACACATCCAGTAACCATGATTTGGTTTTCGCGACAGCCCTGATAGGCATATATTGTCAGAAAACAGTCCTCACACCATAGAGGTGGAACTGTGGGGAACTGTATATGTCATCCCCGTCGGCATGGGTTAATGCCTTTGGGAATGAATTTACGCATGCAAGAACTTGCATAGGTGTACAAAGAAAGGGAGCCATGATAATATGTGTCAGTAAATGAATAATTTGAAATGTAAGTGTTGTTGAATAGCTGCATGGAAAATATGATATTGGCCCATGAAGGAATCTATATCGATATGAATTGGAATTAATGAACTTGCAGCGACCATATTATTTGTATCAGTCAACTCATCTCTTCATACATCTTCCTCTGTGGTATAGAACTCTTATGGACTCAATAATTCTATTATCTTTAAATTTCCTTCTTAGGATTCTAATGAAGTGATGACTAAAATTCATTAATAAAGCCACAACCAGCCTACACGGAACCTAAACGGGTATACAGAATGATTCTCGTGGCTGGATACGGAGGGTGAACGTGGCAATACGCATTCCTTAGTGGTAACCCCGCTGACTAAATGGCTGGCAGGAAAAGCATTCAAAACAATGTGAATAGCCCAGTCTTTAATGATTAAAATAGTATGATCATTTTGCCTTTCATTTTTGTTTTGTGTATCTTTTTTTCAATAGATGATTCACGTATATAAATAAAAGTAAATAAAAATTCTTGTTCGTATTGTTATTGTCATCATTACCATGATCTGTAACATCGTTAATATTGCCATTATTATGATAATAACAAATATTGCTATTATCAATACTACTGCTACTACTTATAAAACTATTACTACTAGTGATATTTTTATGTTTATTATCATTCCTTTACTAATATTGCTATTATCAACATTATTATTATCTATTTTATTATTATTAATATATTCATTACCATAATTATATATTTTTCATAATTGTTACCATAATCATTGCCATCGGCATTATAATCGTTATCTTCATCGTCATCGTCACTGTCTTAGTCATCATCATCATCATCATTATTGTTGTTGTTGTTGTTGTTGTTGTTGTTATTATTATCGCTGTTATTACAAAATAATAATAACAATAACAATAATAATGATAACGGTAATGATTATGATAATGATAATGATAATAATGATGATGATGATGATGATTATTGATGATGATGATGATGATGATGATATTAACGGTAATAAGGATAGTGATAATGTTAATAATAATAAGGATAATAATAATAATGATAATAATAATGATAATAATCATTATGATAATGATAATGAAAATAACGATAATGATAATAACAATAATAATGATAATAATAATAATAACAAGGATAATAATGATAATATTGACAAGAATAATGATGATAATGATCATAGAAGTACTGCGTCTCTTACTAATGATATCAATGGTTTTGATAATAATCATCATTATCATTGTTATCATCATTATTATCATTCTTTATAAAAAAACATTATCATTATCATTATCATAATTTCTATTATCATCACTATTATCCTCATTATTATCTTTATTATTATTGCGGCTTTCAATCGGGGCAACGGCTGCTA